CCGCTATAAGGGGGGGCCATGTGAAAAAATTTGTAAGCTGAGGGGGGTCATGCGATTTTTAAATGGTGTTTCCCAAATCCCACCAGCCCCCCCTCCCTCATAAAAAATGAACAGTCCCTTAGGTTTTCATCTTCAAGTACGTTCACTTGGACTTGTCACCAGTCGATCATTTGATAGTGCTTTTATAAAAATCAATAATGTGAGTCTGAACGAGTTTAAAAACCTGTGATCATCAACTCAGAACAACAAATGTGTTGGTCATTTTGAAGTATGGAATCGGCGCCATATATGGACGTGACGTTCCGATAATTTCCGACTGACCGACGAATGTTTGCCGAGTAGACGAAGTATAGTTTTCCACCAATCCGAGAGACATTGTAGGTTTTTTCGCGGGCAATTTCGAATTAACAAATTGACGTCAGATTTTTAATGTGTCTATCCTCTTATTGATGATAAATTGCATCATAAATTGACAATGTTATGATGAAATTTATCATCAATAAGAGGACAGAGAATGAAAAACTGACATCAATTTGCTTTTTACAATAACAAGACCCCAAAATGGTCAAATATGCCAGGAATAAATGGGGGGAAAAGACACCGTAAACTTGCTATAAACAAAGATAAGTGAATTTTATTCAAAATGATGCAAGCATTCTCAGTAGCTTTTCTTGCTTTTTGATTGGCTACTTCAAAAAGTCCATAAAATCTCATTGGTTAAAAAGTTGACAGTTTGACAGCTGAAAGTTGAACTTGAAAGCTTGCATAAATTAAAATTTTGTCTGTCTGTACTCTTATTGATAGTAAAAATGAGCCTATCAGCGTGCAAGAAATTAGATAGTTATTGTAAAAAGTCTTTGCAAGTGTATTTTTATGATCTTTTATGCTTTTGTGAATCTTTTGTGCTCATGAGTTTTGAACTTCCATTAAGATTAATTTTATGGGCTATTATTAAGGCATCAAAAAACCTCTTGGCACTGCCCTTTTATCATGGATAACGTAGAACATGAATCCTCGGAGAAGGAGGAAACAAGCAGTTCACTTGGTCCTGGTTGTTCAAATGTTGACTCTTCAAACCCTGCAAGCACATGGCAGATCTTTAAAAGCCCTGAAAACCAAAACTACGGATATGTTGATTTGCTAGAGGAAGCCATGCTATTACAGAAGAAATACGAGCAAGAAATCATGACAAAATTTTCTTGTTATAAATCTGACAAAATGTTTGGATCTGGAGGCAGGACCTTTTTCCCCCGGCAGGGGGTTTGGGGTTGTACTCCCTTAAATTTACTAAGGGGGTGTGCCATATGTACAAGGACCTTTTACCAGACAAAAAGAGATGAATTAACGACCCTGTTTCAGACGATCCGTACCCTGTTCCAGATAATAAGCACAAAGGAAAAAAATATCATCATCATCATCATCATCATCATAATAATAATAGTAAAAAGGAAAACAACAAATTTAAAAAACTTTGTTTTGACAGAACCCACTGTCATTTTCAGTTGATTGATGTACAAAGCATTGGAAGTTGAATTCTCACACTTTCACACCTTCACACTTTGCTTCATTTTGTTGTCACAATTAGCATATTTCTACTCATTATAAATTCAACTTCCAACACTTTGTACATCAATCAACTGAAGATGATGGCAGTTTCTGTCGAAACATGTCTTTGAAACTTAAAAGTTTTCATTTAATTTTCTTTGAATTCTTGACTTGCCTGCTATTACCAAGACCCTTTGGAATAACAGTAATAATAATGTTAGTAGTAATCATAAATATAAAACACATTTATGCAGGATGATCATTTCAGTTATAAAAACTGCCATATGTACATCCTCCAGTTTACTCTCTGCTTACAACAAGTTTTTACCGTTTAATTATATATGTTCATAAATAACACCATAATGGCGACTGTGAAAGCAAGATTTGCATATAAACATTGAAATTGCGTGTTACACTGGAACTGGAACATAATGGTCAGTTTGTAACTGAACAGTTCTCAGTGGTTCTTACTGAAGTGGGAATACACAAATCAGGGAAAATGGGAAAATCAACCCTGTTCCAGAGTCATTTAAGCAAAAGTAAAATTTTTTGAGTTATTTGGGGTTTACAATGGTCTTCAGTGAACAACACGTGTTTACTTCAAGATACCATCTTTTTTTTTAACTAGGTGAATGAGCAGCCCCCCAGAAGGGTGAGTGCAATGGCTCTCAGATGTAACATCTAATCCCCCACCGAGGCTGTCGAGTGCGATGCCTCAGAAGGGGTTTGCCAGAAATGGAGGGGCACCAAGCCGCCAACTTCACCGAGGGATCGAACCTCGCCTTCACAAATTAAGACAAAAAAAAAAAGAAACCTCAAAATTTGCCAAAAGGCAGGTGATGGACACAAGGGACTCCTGAGTAGTAGACCAGCTAAGGACACCAAATGCAAAGAGACCACACAATTGAAACAGGACAAGCACTTGTCTAGCATCAGCCACACAGGGGAAGAGGCTCACAGGCCACACTCCCATGATGAGCAGATATGGAGATGAAATCATGCTTCTGGATGCTACATACAAGACCATGAGCTCTCATTGTTCTTCCTTGTGGTTAAAACCAATGTTAAGTATACAGTGGTTGGAGCTTTTATAACCCAAAGTAAAACAAAAGCTGCAATAGAGGAAGCGCTGAAAATTTTCTGTGCCTGGAATTCCGAGTTGAAACCCCAGTACTTTATGACAGACTTTTGCTATGAGGAAATCAATGCAATTGAGTCTAAATTTGAAGGTTTGTAAGGTCTTTGATGCAATAAATTTTTGACATAAAATTACGTACATGCATAATACAAGAATGGCTTAAACCATCAATGGGAGGAGGTTCTTTCCTTGCTTTGCAATGTGGCAACATCTCCAACAGAAGATGTCTTTCAAGGGAATCTCAAGTCCTTAAAGGCTAGTGAGTTGTGGATGTCAAATCCTCAATTATGCAACTTGTTTAAGAAAACATGGATGCCAGAAGCCAAGGTACATTTAAACTATAGAAAAAAGAGTAAAATAATGAAAGAAAACTAATAACATAATCAACACTGTATTTATTAATTTTGGTGATGCAGAAAGGGTTCAAAAACAATGTTAAAAAAAATACTATTTTCTCTTTGAATCTGAGGTCAAACTACACAATTGTGGTTCTTAGTTACTATATACATACACAAAGACATACTTTATTTGTTCCCAATCGCTAATGGGCTTTTAAGAAAAAAAATTACATTCTAATGTATCAGATGTTATCAGTTACAAAAGTCTACTGACCTGGGCATACAAAGTTAAGTGTACAACAACTCTTTAGTGTCAATCCTTGTACTCACATCCCCAATGATGCATAATTTTAATTATACACATAGCCGCCTAGTGTTATAATTATACATTCTGACTCATATAAAAAATCTCCATATCTACTGACTTTCAGCAATAGGTATGGGCTTATGGTCAAGAGCAATTCCTGGTGGCTGTAAACATCAGTGATGGCATAGAACGCCAAAATGAATCATTCAAATACCAGTACCTGAAAGACTGAAGCAAGTGTACCCTCAGTGGTAATTGATAACCCAGGTGGGGGGTACTCCTTTATATGGGCTATATAGGTATGTGCGGCCCCAAAGGATAGGGTTTTTCAGCCGCTTTGGTCATAAATAGGGTATGGTTTTAGCACTCTAGTCTTGAATTGGGTATGTTTCTTAGAAGAAGCTACTTTTTCATCCTTATCAATGGCCGTCAACAAAAGCCCTTAATAACTTATGTTTGGAACAACTGGGTCAGCTGCAATGGTCATAAATAGGCTATCAAATTTTTGGCCAGGTCATAAATAGAGTAGCAAAAAACGCAGATTTTGGTCATAAATAGGGTAAGGGTTTTGGGAAGTGGGCCGCACACCCCCGCCCAACTTTTCTGGAAGTACCCCCCCCTCCCCCTGGTATGATAACCATACTTGTTGCAGAATTCTTACCTGACAAATACTAAAGGTGGGCATGATACGTTTCATAAGTATTGCAACTACATAATAAATAACAATTTACTCTAAAGAAACTACACATTCCATGCTTTTCGGTTGATAAAAAATCCAGTAAGCTTGAACAGAAGGCATCAACTTCAGAGTCTCAGACTGGATCAAGTTAACAATTAAACAACTATTTAACTAAGAGTAGTTCATTTGAGATACCTGAATGTCAAGTTAGTGAACTTAAGGCATGGGATATCTGGGCAGTTGTTAAGTTTGAGTCACCTGTTACCTTGATCTTTGCACCTGTAACAAATTTGTTACTTTGTGAGTGAATTGTGTCAACAAAAGGTAAGTTCACCCATAACATCAAGGGCCTTAATCAAGCATAATCAGCCATACAGCCCTGGATATATTGGTCAATAAGTGTTACAATGCATGGGACTCATGATCACTCGTATGACAGGTGGTACATTAACATTGCAAAAGCTTGCAGGTTTATAATACTGCAATGACTAACAATCTACTACCACCACCATGACTAACACTCTACTACAACTTTTGACATGGCTTAAAATATATTTTCAAAAATGATAACAGCAGTGACAATGTATCAATTTAATAAGAAAAAAACTTCAAAAATTGCTAGTCAGGATTGACTGAAAGGTTGCTGTTGGTTGCAAACAAAGTATGGATTAAAAAAATAATGAGCAATAATGAGAATTACGGTCATTTCGCTCCATGGTTAGTTGGCTCCAAGTCAGTTCGCTCAAACCAAAAGTTAGATTGCTCCACACAGGTAACCGAGTTTGGCTTGGCAGTGGATGAAAGAACGAGGAATAATCTATATGCACGTTGGAGCAAACTGACTTGGAGCAGCTTGGAGCGATCTAACCACGGAGCGAAGTGACCGGATACCAATAATGATCATTAAACTTAAGCTTAAAAGAATTCAATAAGGTACAAAAATGGACTACCAAGTTGAGCTTCTCTTTGACATGCCATCTTCTCCCCTACTTTTAAAATGATAAGCCCGGTAATGAGAACTGGATCACAAGATAATGTAATTCAGCAGTTTTCATTGGCCTAGTGCTCTATTGGAGATCCACAAATCTGATTGGTTCTCTCATTTTTTGTTCGCTGATAGACAACAATTGCATGTGCTGCTCTTGAAGCTGAAAATTATACATAATTTTAGGCTGTTATCCTTTAGTGTCTACTAAACCAATTAGTCTATTGGTCGTGTCTTGCCTTTGTTTTCTATGAGTAATAGTCGACTTAGCTAGGCCTTGTTGACCTTGTATTCACTCAATAGAAAACTCGGGCAGCATGGTATAATTATACCATGCCATACAAATGTAGTGAGCATACGTGTATTTTTTTGTGTGTGTGTGCATTTTTATTCTTACTTTATTTTAACTTTCTACATTTTGTGGGCATTCTTAGCAAAACAATTGTTCCACTCATGCTTGCTGGATATGGATGAAATTATAAACAACTTGGCGCTATGCACCTCATTAGCTATCTATAATCTCATATCCAAGTGTGCTTGTGGAAAAATATTGGTAATTATTATATCTCTCAGTTAGTATGTGTGCTGTGATTGGTCAATTTAGCAGGCTGTAATCTACTGCACGGCCCGCTAAAATTTAAAGCTGTTTTTGTTACTAAATGTTTCGTGGTTTATCGACAAGTGTTCTTAGATTTTTTAGCAAGTAAGAGAACAAAATTGTGTATAATAACCTACTAATGATTTCAAATGGTCAGTTCAAATTGAATTGTTTTGCTTTTGAGGTGCGTCAGAAATTTGAAGCCGTTCCTCATGAATAGAAATCATTCCCGAGCCGTCAGACACACAGTAGAGATGTGATAAATATCTTACTAACCTCGTTTCCTCGGTCTGTACGGTAAGTTACGGATCCTCGTTTTTCCCCTTCGATGTATGGCCCACGCACTTCGCACTTGGGCCATAAATTGATGGGGAAAAACTCGGTCCGTAACTTACAGTATGGACCTCGAACTCGGCTTGTACATGTAAGAGGTATTTACCATATTTCACTCTCGAAGATAACTTTTGGTTAAAAGTGACAAAAAAGAGCCGTAAAAATGGAACCAAATGAATTTAAATTGCCTTTACCCTGTACTACGTACTGGGTAAGTTGCACTTCTTTCAATCATGTAGAAAAATCGTACACAAACTGAAGAAGGGAGCTCTCAACTACTGGAAGTGATGGGAAAATGCAAATAATTTTAGCAAGTTTTGAAATTAATTCACCATATTATGTTATTTGACATGGTCATTAATTGTTACGATTCTAATCTGGGTGGTAGGGAGACACAGGAAATATATTGGGGGTTTAAGTTTCAAAATGACATAGATCTGTCATGATGGTTGATCTGATTGATATGCGTGTTATAATTGGTTGGAAAAGGTTCGGGTCTTTTGGGGCTTCATGGATAACTGCTTACAAGTCTGTATTTTCCCTTGCGGTCAATGAATAAATTGATATCTTATCTTTAATTTGACCAGTCATTTATCAGATAGATGATGTCATCCCTTTCAATTCCTTCCATTATACCAACAAAACCCTTTACTGAAAGAGAATGGTTTTTGTTTAGAACAACATAGCTGGTGGAATTAAAATAATTATTATCTGGTTGTTGTGTAATGGCTGCCTGTTTAAGAATNCTCTAAATTCTTGTACCACATGATGTCATGTGAAGTAGTGGTCAATATCGTCAAAGTGATCAGCAATTTAGAATTACATGTACAGTTATGACCATTTAACTGAAAGGTTAAAGCAGGTCAAGATAATTAAATATGTACACTATTAGTATACTAATAGCACAGTGATCAATGATCTTATCTTATCTAAATTAAGTAGGACAGTTGAATGGACACAGCTGGTACTGTGCTCAATAATGTTAATGAACTTCAACAAGCATTGCTTCATCTTAAGTTGTTGTTACTTACTGAAAGTAATTTCCAGTCAGTAATAATAAATTTGTCTCTCGTGTATGACTAGAAATTGATTGTCATTTTGAGGGTGGTTTACTCTGTAGGTTTCTTGGGGCATCATCAGATTATGCAAGAAACGAGCAAGTTACATGTAATTTATTCACCTGTAAATGCAATTTTTCCACATCTGTTTAGGGGGTCATTGTTAATTATGATTGCTACCATATGGTCAAGTGACATTTAACATAATTTTTTAAAGAATGATATTTAAAATGTCACAATGAATATCTGAAATTTCAGTTTCTGTGACATGATTTATAGATTAATTATAAAGACAGCACCGTTAAAATTATGGGAGATTTGTTAGTTCTAAAATATAATTGTTAGTTATTCTGTAGGCAAACATGTGAACATATTTAATTAATGCATTTTTTGACAGTGTCTTTAATGCAAACAAAGTGTTCCATACATTGTAAAAAAAAAAGAAATCAAATCAATAGTCTTAAAAGAAATAATAATTATTATATAAATTATACAGTAAATCTCAAACTCATTTATAACGATGGAAATCAAGATTTTTTGACATTGTAAAAACTGAGAAGTAGCATAGTTTATGATAAAATATTGGTGGTGATTACTAAATGTTTTTGTAACCCTTTGAGTGAACATTGTATTTTTATGAAGATATCAATAAAATTTAATTTCATTCCTGATGACTCAGTGATGGCTGCACATAAGTAACCTTAATGCTATGCAGACATTTTTTAATATGGCTCATTGTCATCATGACAAGCCTTAAGAACTGCTTAAGAGGCTATATAGGGGTCACTGGAGGAGTAGAAAATATTTACCTGCTTTGATTGAGTAGTCCAATCACAACAGAAAAGAAAAAATCATTTATTAGGTAATCAATAGCACTTTTTAGCTTGGGAGGTTTGTTTTCCATTTAATATAGCCCACATGATTATTCCTAGAGAATTGTTTTTTTCTTGATCTAAAAATTATTCTTTCATGGGCATGTAAGTATTTGAAAATTTGAAATCAAGAATTCTCAAGAGCCTCATCACAGCGTTTGGAAATATGGGGTAACAAACTGCCTAAGCTAAAATGATCTATTTGAGGCCTATTCAAATTGCGTTTTACATCTGTTTCAAAACTAGTCTTGGTGCACAACCTTCCTAATGGAAACAAGTTTTTCTTGCACGTTAACTGTCTTGCAATTAACCCATTTCTACATGAAAGGTTGTGCACCAGGACTCGTTTTGAAACAGGTAAAAAGCAACTCGGAAATGACTTATTCTGCTCTGTCTTAACTCTTTCCCCTTGTATGGCTTGAACAAAAGAATATTTTACCACCGGCTCAACTGCTTATGCCTGTGAACTTGAAATTTCTTGAGACCCTCCCATGTGGGGTGGGGGAAAACCATTGCTAGTAGGAGAGAGAACTGGGAACAAGCTACTCGATTGTAAGAGATTGCGACACTTTGCGACACACACGTGGGAAAACAAAATGGCGGAAGGATCGAGTGAAAAGATGAGCAGTGAAACAACGGAAGATGAGCCATTTGAGACTGTTCCAGTGAGGAGAAAACGAAAACGAGGGCAACTGGAAGATATGGATACTAGCGAAGAATTAAAAAGACCCAGTTTTCCTCCTGCAAAAGCTGAAAAATTGATGGTCAGTGTAAATCTGTTGCGGCGTCAATTGTACGATGAATGCAAGTGTTCTTCAACTTTACACATCGCTTGATCCGCTTTCTTTACAGGGTGGAAAGTCAGAAACGCGAAAAATACCAGTTCCACCCCACCGATATACACCTCTTAAAGAGAACTGGATGAAGATATTCACTCCGATTGTCGAGCAGTTGAAGCTTCAAATTCGTTTCAATTTGAATGCAAGAAAAGTAGAAATTCGGGTAAGGTTATTCTAGCTACGTATCTATCATTTCTCGCAATTCTCGTCTAAATTTTTTGACATTACATAATCTTAAAATGAATGAGAACTGGTAAAATGTTTTTCTTGCCAAAATGGACGGTACATGAAAAGCAGTTTCTTCTTTATAAATTATCTAGAAATGCAGCTAAAATTATGCGCACAAAATACGGTAAGTGATCGAAGATCTGCTCTTGCGTGAGAGTCACTGACACTTGCACACCTGTAAAACCTGTCTGGGTACAACTACATGGGGGACCCTGTTTGAAACAAACCTCTTTCAGTAGGTGAACCAAACGGGAAGGAGCTAAGTGTCTGTGTTACAGTGTGAGAGTTAGGTGACCCATGTTGTTAAGATTGAGACTCACTGGTAATGAATTATGGTTTCACTGGGACCACATAAACTTTCTGTAACACATAGAAGCATCCATGTTATGGAGTTGGCTATAGAAGATGTTTGGCTGTATGTGTGAGAAAAATTGAACTGAACTTGTTTCTTGTAGACTTCCAAGGACACTCAAGATATTGGTGCGATCCAAAAAGCAGCAGATTTTGTTCAGGCATTTCTACTTGGATTTGAAGTAGAGGTGAGTGCGTTGAATAAGAGAAAACTGTTCTTTTGTAATTCATACAAGGGCAGACCTTGCTGGTCTCCATTTGAGTCTAATCAGTAGAATTAATCGGGAGAATTAAACTATATTTACGTGCTGACAGTGTGAGGCACTGCAGTTACTAGCGTTTTGGTTCTTGTGCTGGATACTGGATGAAGTGTCTGGGTTTGAGAGCTGGTAAGAGTCTTTCTTTTTTTGGGGGGGGNGAACCATCAGGGCAATAGGAAACAATGTTGAGAGATTACCTGTGATGAACTAGCGTCCCATTAAGGGGGAACAGTAGTGTTTGCAGTTAATTCATGCTACAGAAACTAGAGGTATAATGCACAAATTAGCTATCTGGCTCACCCACCACCCAGGTCTAGAAAGGACTTCAATTACAGGTAGGTTAAGTCTGCATACGAGCCAAGTGACCCATCAAGCCAGAGCATTTCCTGGTTTCTGTAGCACAAAGTAACTAAGAATATTTCTACTTCCCCCTGGATGGGATGCTAGTCCATCGCAGGGTTACCTCCGGTATTAAATTCGCCAGCACCCATTTGCACACCTGAGTGTAGAGAGGCACTGTGAGAGTTAAGTGTCTTGCCCAAGAACAAGACACAATGTCCTCAGTCAGGGCTCGAACCTGGACCACACAGTATGGAGTCGAGAACACTCACCATAAGGCCACTATGCTTCCACAGACTTCAGGTAACATCAAGATAATTTCTCCCTGGTGATCATTTCTTTATATTTTTCTGTGAACTATGTGCCTTTCTTTCAGTGTTAATTTATTGAGAATATTGCTTTTGATCTGTGGTGGTTTGGTGATGACTTCTGCCATGCTAATTGTGAGAGTCTTCTCTCAAGTCTGTTGCTCAGCTGGTCTTGTTGACAGTGGGCTCAGATCTTGTGGAGACTCTGTGACAGCAATAATGCATACTGAAAACCACTTGATAAGTCAACAGCAGTCTTCTCATGACTATGAAGGCAAAACGAAATCCAGTAGTCACAACAAAGTGAGTGATAGATTCGTTTAACACAATTAAATACCATGGCGGAAATTCCATGCCATGCCCGGCAAGTATAAGCGAACAGTTGCCATATTAGTAAGCATTCCCTTTGCCATCAGTGAGCGATCAACGTTATTAGTATTTAGTGCAAATCTGTAATGTCTTTTCTCTCCTCTATTTACCTCCCCGTTTGGGGGAGCATCATGTATGGTCTTACGTAATAAAGACCCAGTTTCCCCCAATTGAGTTGGTGTGTATTTAAGCACATGATGCAATGAATCTAACAGAACATAAGTTTAAACATGTACATAGTGTTGAAGATTTTTGATGTGATTTTCTTCCGCAGGATTCCTTAGCCTTGGTCAGATTAGATGATTTGTTCTTGGAGACATTTGAAATTGCTGATGGTATGTTCACTTGAAATGATTTCAGTCTTATTTTCCCTTACTATTAGGGACACATCTAGAGACAAAACAGATTGGTTTGGATATGTATGGGTTATTGACCAAGTGTGAGGTCAAGATCGCTGGATATTGGCCAAGTTCTTTTTTGCGTGTTTATGGACCAAGATGGAGTCAAGGTCCTTAAACTCGCCAAAAAAGAACGAGGCCAATATCCAGCCATCTTGACCAAACAAGCTTAGTCAATAAAGGATTTATCATATGGCTTTCGGGGAAATTTTTTGTGGGACACGGCGGGTAGTCCCGAGTGGGCAAGATAGCTCCATCTTGCCTACTCAGGTAGCCAATCACAGTGCAGGATTTGATTCATCTTGCCCACTCACGGAGCTAGCCATATAATAAAGCAAAATACCCAACAACAATAAATTTATAATTTTCAGATGTGATATTATAATGCACAACAATAATTATTGAAAGCAACAAAACATTGAATATTTCACTTTGTAACTTTGTTTTACCAACAGTTAAGCCACTGAAGGGAGATCATCTTTCAAGAGCCATTGGTCGTATCGCCGGGAAAGGTGGCAAAACAAAGTTCACCATTGAAAATGTATCCAAGACAAGAATAATCCTTGCCGACTCGTGAGTAAAATGTTTTGCATCTGACTTTAGCGTTGGCATATTATACACTGTATGTCACCAAAGAAAAGAATCAGTTGGGTTCAGAACAAGTGTCGTATTTGGCAGTTAAGTCATCATTGAAGCACTTGTCAAGTTTTTGATTTTTATTTTTGATTATGTATCCCATCAAAGAAAATGGCAAAGCACTCAGACTACTCTGAAAGTTGTCATGCCATCATATAGCAATCTGCTTTGTTACAAAGGGGTTTAGCAACTGAGTCCCTGGGCAGGCCTATGGTCTTCTTTTGTGTCAGGTTAAGTTAATGTCAGGAAGGTCATTCTCATAGTTACTTATTTGTGTTATTTTTCTTTTTTTTTTTTTTTCAGTAAAATCCACATTTTAGGATCATTTCAGAACATCAAAATTGCCAGAACAGCAATTTGTAGTCTCATCTTAGGTAAGGAACAAAAGTTGTTTTTTCGACTTTCAGTGTGTAGAACACAAAGTAAGATAACCTACTCTCCTACACCATATTGTTCCTAAAAGTTGATCAAAAAAGTGCTGTCTTCATCTCAAAGTATTAGATATGAAGAGCGTGGGATGAATGTGACTCTTTGAAATTCATTGTATTTTCATAAGTTTCCAACATTTGAGAAACTTGCAGAATTTATTTTCTATTTGAATTGTTCTGTTTGTTGTCCCCTTTCACAGGATTTGTTTTAGCCTGCATAGCAGGCATTCCTATCTAAAAGCATGCAAAGGGAGCAAATTGAACTGCGAGCCTTTGTGAAAAAATAAGGAGGAGGGGGTGGGGCAAAAGATGAATGATACCTTTCCTCCCCACACCCTCTCCCCTCTCCTCTTTTTTTTTTCTCACCCCTCTCCACCTCTCTCCATTTTTTGCTCACCCCTGACGCACTCATTTGCTTGCTCACTTGGTTGATCTCCCTTCTGAAAAATGGAAGGGAAACGTCTGCAATACAGGCTAGATTTGTCTGAACACAATCAACCGAACCGTTATTGCAATCAATGTTTCTTTTGATGGGATATCCTTTATAAAGTATTCCATCATTGTCTGATGATCCCCCAATCACCACCCCTCCCCCCCCCCGGTTCGTAAGTAAACAGCACCTGTTAGCATAGATGGTTATGTAAGATTTTTAAAAACAGTATTTTAAGCTTATCTTGTGTTGCTGTTGGTTCCTTCACAGGAAGCCCTCCATCAAAAGTATACGGAAACATGAGAGCAGTGGCGAGCAGAACGGCCGAGAGATTTTGAAGAGACCGGGCGGAGATGGAGGGAAGTGATACAGGAGAGCAAGAATGAAGTCAGATCCGCAACGAGGAATTGTGATGTCTGTGATGATAAATTCGTGGCAAATACAGAAATGTTTTGATCTGATACAGCGTGGCGACGGATTACAAACAACATTTTTATCACTAACACTTACAAACTTGCAAAGGATCAAAAGCACGATCAAACGAAGACAAGGAAAATTTTAATTTATTGGAATGGAAAACTTCCAGTGAAAAAACCAGGATTTAGAAGAAATTGCAACCCAAAACTAATAGGAATCAACTGAACATTTTTTACACAAATTTGTATAGTCACAAAAAATTGCAAACGGTTGCTTAAAACCTGCTAGAAAATTGTACGTACAGATATATTGTCTGATGTAGTCCATGCGTTTTATCGCTATTAAACGAAAAAAATAAAGATTTATCTTGGAAGCAAAATGCAATAAACCACAGAACAATCTCATAAGCAAAATAGAGGAGTACTGTTTTATCCATTTCTCATTGGTTAGTCTGTCCACAGCCGTTTACGTTTTTGGTGCGAGTTGTTTTTCTACGAGCAGGCGAGAGCAGCCGCGAAGTGGGCGCAAGATGTTTCCCCAGCCCCACCCCCTGGCGTTTTAACGTATGTATTTATTTTACTAAGTTCGCGATCTCGACGAACTAAAGACAAAATAGCTAAATAGGTAAAGCTTCCTAGTGTGTCGAGCCTTCCTGACAGTGTCAGACCATTTTTGGTTCCCTTGAAATGTTCAAACTTCTGAAGGAAAACAAAAGATGGAAAG